GCCGCCGCCCCCAGGGCGCCCCAGCCGTGTGGGGCCCTGGCAGTGGGGCGAGCGTGCTGGGTGGAGCCCCCACCGGAGCAGTTTTGGCTACCCCACTGGTGCACGTCCCTCGCCTCCTCGTGCCCCACGATCACCAGGGGGAGCAGGAACGCAGCACAAGGTTGACACCAATACAATCACAAACCCTGGTGTGGGGCAAACCCCAGGATCTCCCCATGGGGCCCGGCTGAACCTCCTCTCCCCTGTGGGCGGGCCAGGGCCAGTGAAGCCCTGGAAATACCCATCCCGGTTCCATGTTGCATCCCAGCAGGGTCGAGTCTGGCAATGCGCCTCCCTCCCCGTGGCACCCGCGGGGTTCTTACAACGCGCAAACACAGCTGTGCAAGCTCAACACAGACAACAGTTCGTGCCTGGGGGCAAAGGGGAGGAATCCCAGCAGGCGCTAATGGGGAACATCGGCCTCCCAGCTCACAGAATCAATCATCCACAGGGCTGTGCACAAACCAGAGAGCAGGTCCCTGGGGCTGCTCCCTACTCCCTCGCCTGTTCACCCTCCTGTGACTGTAACGAGCGCGGTGCAGAGCCCCTGGACAATGGGGGGGGGAACCGAGGGCTGGACTCCCCAGGAGGCTACCGCTGCTTAACACGTCCTCCAGGGCTCTGCCGCTGGTTCCCAGGCCGGACGTGGCCAGAGGTCCCCAAATGTGGCTTGGCACATGTCCACTCCCAGCTCAAACCCTGCAGCCCACCCCCAGCCAGCCACGGTGAATTCCAGGGACTGGTTCCTTCCACCCGGCTCCGTGGGTCGGCATTTATGCCCACGCTCGCAGTGCCTGGTGGGGAGAATTAGGCCGAGTGGGAAGTAGAACCTCCCCTCCCCTGCGGACAGGACAGCGCCGGCAGAGCACTGGAAATACCCAGTCCAGTTCCACGTTGCATCCGAGCAGGGACGTTTCCCTCTGGAATCTCTGGGGCAGAGACTCCATGGGGAGGGCATCTGCAACGAGCCTGACCTGCTGTTAATGAGCACAACTCCTCTGTGCTCCATGTCCAGGTCAGCCTAACTTGGCTGCAGGGCCCAGCAGAGAGACAGAGACCTCTCGGGGGGCTCCGTGGGGATGCCAGGGACAGGCCAGATGGGGAAACTGAGGCACCGGGGCAGCCAGTGCCTAGTAAGCAGGTTACGGGTGAAGTCCAGGAGGAGAGGGCAGGGCCAGAGCCATGGAACAAGAACAAATATTTGCCAGCCAGCTAAGTTCTGCACTCACACCTGGGGGGACTCCGCTGTTTATTCTTCTCTGTACAAACACAAGAGCCGCAGCAGCAGCTTTGAGAGCCCCAAGCCCCAGCCCCTGGTACAGAGGTTTGGTCCATAGTGGTTCAATGCCAGCAGCGGAGAGAACGCCCTGGAGGGGGTGCTGGCCCGGGAGCAGGCGACTCAGGAGCTGCCAATAGGAAACAGGGCTTAAGAGCAGTAAAGCCAAGGGCGCTTGTGCTCCGACACCAGCGCTTTGAACCCCCGCCCCAGCATCTCGCAGGGCAAACCTGCCTGGGCAGAGCTGGGGGTGGGCGCTCGCCAGCAGCCTTTTTATGAAAGGCTGAAGCCGTGCAGCCCTCTGGAGTCAACCTCAGCGAAATCTCCCCCAGTGCCCCCGGCCTCCCCCAGTGCCAGGAGGCCTCTCTCACCGAGCTCTTGCCAGGGGAGCTCCCTGCCAGGTCTGGGGGAGGCACCACAGGCGGGGGAGGGTCCAGGCTGCTGGCCCTGCTGCTGCCCGGAGTGGCCCTGTTCTGAGGTTTGGCATCTCCAGGGCCCGGCAGAGGGCGGTGTCCTGGGAAGCGCGATCGGCATGACGCCTTGCCCACCCCCAGACGGGGCACGGACTGGGCTCCACGGCGGATTGGAACTGAGCATCGTCTGCCCTGCTGGGAGAGCCGAGTGCCTCACTCCCCTGGGCCAAGGAGTCATTTCTCTAAGGGGCCTATGGGCTCTCTGAACTGTTTGCAGGGCCCAACACCCAGCTAACTTCGCACCCCCTCCACGTGGGGCAGAGAACAGCCCCCAAAAGGGCCAATTCACAGCTAGACAGCCCACCGCTGGGGGTGGGGGGGGTCTTACTGCCGTAGGGCCAGACAGCCTATTCCAGATCCGCAGCCCTGCGACGGGCTAGTCCCGGCAAAGCTCCCGCTGCTAGAACCTGCCCTCCTGCCCACACAGGGCTGGTAGGGAATCTTGCGCAAAGCGGGCAAGCTCTTACCTGTCTGCAGAAATAGGAGCTTGCCAGCTGCCATGGCCCGATCTCACCTCCATAGGTGCATGCCGTGTGCATGCACCATCCCCTTCCCAGCTCGAGCCGGGGGCCGTTTCTTGCGCTGCTGTTTGCCTCCCGGCCCTGGAGAGCCGAGTAAATGCCGGGGGCAGCGACTGGGGGGTGCCACAGGCCGCTTTCCAAAGTTACCCCCGGGGCGTGTTCGCACAACAGGCTTCTGCAGGACTCTGCACAGACACCGTACCAAGATCCCTCCATGCCAGCACTCCCAGCCCAATCCCGCAGCGCAAGGAGCACTCACGGCCCAAACTCCTCCCCGGCAGGACAAACTGGACCCTTTCTGCTCCAGAACAGGACAGGCACAAGCAAGCAGCCAAGGGTGTGTGTGTGTGTGTGTGTGTGCTGTGACTGAGCAACACGTACCCCGTGTGTGTGCTGCGTCACTCTGTACCTCACCTCCCCAGGTGTGACCGGTGTGACACGCAACCACATGTGCAGGGACGACTCGGGGACGCTACCTCTGCGTGGCTACCCCCTTGCAGAGCGGGCGCCTCGTGGCTGCCGCGTTGTCACCCCGCTCAGCTCCGGCCGGGGGGGGAGGGGCGCGCGGCTGGGTGTGCGCGAGGAGACACGGGTTGAGAGGGCACCGCCAGCGGGAAGCGGGCCGGGCAGAGTCTCGCGCGCTGATTGGCTGGCGGGGAACCCCCG